AAAAAAAAAAAAAATTAAGTGTATTGGTTTAAAAATGAAGAAAAAGAAAGCCAGCAAGCCAGCCACCTAAGGAACCACACTTTCCAGTAAAAACAAAGTGTAAATAAAATTTTATCTTGAAAAATGAAACTGAAAATTATTTCTGTTCTTATATGTAATTTCTACACTTATCCAGTGCCTGTATCTCAAGTACTATTCTAGTGCTAGAGATACAAAGTTGAATATGAAATGCCCTCTAGGAATTCAATCTAACAAGAGAATGGAATGTATAAACACACACAAACTATTAAGGGTTGTGATAATTAACAAAGCCCAAAGTGCTAAGAAGGAGACACAGATGGGAAAGAAACTCATTATGTCTGGTTCTTTCTGAGTTAAGACTTGAAGGAGGAATTTTAAAAGGAGACACCAGGGGAAAGGCTGCCAAGCAGACGGTAGGGGCAAAGAAAGGCCTGGTAACTGAAAACACAAAGCTCATTCAGAAAATGCAGGGTCCAGTGCAACTAGCTCAATGTTAGTTGCTGTGGTTCGGGGGAAGGAGTGATTTTAAAACAGTAACAACAAAAAGAACCAGTCTAAAAAGTTAGGCCAGGCAGGGTGCGAGCCTCAAGTCTGTAATCCCAGCACTTTGGAAGGCCGAGGCAGGCAGATCACCTGAGGTCAGGAGCTCAAGACCAGCCTGACCAACATGGTGAAACCCCATCTCTACTAAAAATACAAAAATTAGCTGGGCATGGTGCTGCGCACCTGTAATCCCAGCTACTCGGGAGGCTGAGGCAGGAGAATCGCTTGAACCTAGGAGGTGGAGGTTGCATTGAGCTGAGATTGCACCACTGCACTCCAAGCCCAGGTGACAGAGCAAAACTCCATCTCAAAAAAATAAATAAATAAAATAAAAAGGTAGGCTAGGACTCAAGTTTAGACCATGCAAACAGGTTTGGATTTTATTTTCCAATATTTGAAAAATCCACAGCAACAGGATATAGAATGAATTAGGAGGAACCCACAAAAGGCAAGAAGATGCACAACCACCTCCTGTTACAGCGTCTAAGCAAGGACAGCAAAGGGAGCAGGCAGAAGGTAGGAGATACAAAAAGTTCATCAGGTCTGAGTTACCACTGCATGCAGAAAAGGGATTTCTGGGGGAACACAGAGTTAGAAATGATGCTGGGGCTCTAGCCAGGCTGCTGTCACGAACGCAGAGAGAAAGCAGAAACACATTCCTGGGCGGAGAGGAGCCAAAGGGTTAAATCTGGAATAGGTTGAATGCACTGAGTTGAGGTGGTGAAATCTGATAAACTCCTGCAGATGCACTGGCACTCAGTGAAACATGGAGCTCCAGAAACAGACTGGGGCCAGGTGTGGTGGCTCACATCTATAATCCTGGCACTTTGGAAGGCTGAAGCAGGATTGCTTGAGCCCAGGAGTTCAAGACCAGACTGGGCAACATGGCAAAACCCCATCGCTACAAAAATTAGCCAGGAGTGGCAGTGTGTGCCTGTAGTCCCAGCTACTTGGGAGGCTAAGGTGGGAGGGTCACCAGAACCTGGGAAGTTGAAGCTGTAGGAAGCTGCCATCACACCACTGCATTCCAGCCTGTGTAACAGAGTGAGACCTTCTCTCAGAAAAACACACACACACACACACACACACACACACCCCAGAATCAGATTGGGAAACGTCAATAAAATTTGAGAGCTGGAGACATAATAACTGCAACTGCCTACAAAGAATCACTGAATTTCAACCAAGTGAATTCCTCTCCTCTCAACCTCCAAATGCCCTTGTCTTTTTTTAAAGCTGGACATCACTTTCTCATGTCCTAAATCATCTTTTTTCTCCTTATTAAAATTATTCCATAACTACATTTCTCTTCTACAATTCTTCCAGAACACAGGACTGAAATAGTGTACACTCTTGCCACATTATGTAAAAAGATCATCCAATCCAAAAGGAAAGCTGTGTTTTCCAAGACTACTAACTCCTGGAGAAAAGAAACAAGACATCCTCAGCATTTTCCTAATACGTGGTTTGAGCAAAATGCAAAAGTTTAACCAATGAGTGACTCTCCCTGGAGAAGGCCATGAAAATGTCTTAAGGCTGGATCTAGGGTACCCAAACATTTTCACAGGCCGTAGGCTAGAGCACTGGTGCAGGAGAGGGGGACACCAGAGACCTGGAAGTCAGGCTTTGAAGGCAGTAAACAGCCACTGACTTCAGGTGTCACTTCTCCTCTAGGTTTTTCACTTCACAGACTGATGAGTACATGGCCTAGAATGATCCCCCTTCTAGTTGAGAATTTTCAGGCCTAACTAAAAGTGGATTAAAGTAAACCTTGGAGAAAGCTGCATATTTTTTAAGTGTCATTAAGCAATTCAGGGATTATCTAAACACCTTCGGTTTTCTTTTCTGTTTCCTTACCAACTGCCTTTTAAATCTCACTCTTAGCTCTTAAGCATGACTGTCAGAGGGGCTGAAGCACAAAGAGGAAGTGAAGCTCAAAGAGTTAATTTTGCTGCATTGGCAGCTCTGGTGAAAGACAGTGGGCCCGGAAAAGGAATCAAATGACCAAAACTGGATTTGGGGATTACTGTTGGCAGCCAGCCAGCAAGTTCTTAGATACTGCACACAACTTGGTCAGCCAGTTCAAAGAAAATTAGCAGAAAATGATGGAATACATTTTTTCGGTATTTTGTTTTGTTTTTGTTTTTGTTTTTTTGAGACAGAGTCTCACTCTGTGGCCCAGGATGGAGTGCAATGGCACAGATCTTTCCTCACTGCAACCTCCGCCTCCTGGGTTCAAGCAATTCTCCTGCCTCAGCCTCCTGAGTAGCTGGGACTACAGGCATGTAGCCCAGGCTAATTCTTGTATTTTTTGTAGAGATGGGGTTCACCATGTTGGCCAGGCTGGTCTCAAACTCCTGGCCTCAAGTGATCTGCATGCCTCGGCCTCCCAAAGTGTTGGGATTACAGGCCTGAGTCAGTGCCGCTGGAAAGACATTCTTAAACTTCTCAATAGAAGGATACACACACTACGTTGAATGGCTATCTCTTGGGAGCAGACTGGTGAAAAAAAGGGGTATTTATATTTTTCTGTTAAGTTTGAATAACTACACATGTACTTCTGTAATTCAAATTTAAGATGAAATATTATCAGGTTTTAAAAAAGGAAAAAATGGACGGGCGCGGTGGCTCACGCCTGTATTCCCAGCACTTTGGCAGGCCGAGGAGGGTGGATCAAAAGGTCAGGAATTCGAGACCAGCCTGGCCAATATGGTGAAACCCTTCTCTACTAAAAATACAAAAAATTAGCCGGGAGTGGTGGTAGGTGCCTGTAATCCCAGATACTCAGGAGGCTGAGGCGGAGGTTACAGTGAGCAGAGACCGCGCCACTGCACTCCAGCTTGGGGACAGAGCAAGATTCCGTCAAAAAAAAAAAAAAAAAAACAAAGGAAAAAATATTTCTACCTTACTCTTAGGAGCCACGCCTCCCACCTTTGTCTACTAACAGCTATATGATGTCTCAACAGTCTCTTACGGAATGAGAAAATACTACTCCTCCACTAACAAATGACTCCTTCAGACGGGAAAAACATCAGATCTCGAACTCGAGAAAGCAGCAGAAAAAAGTTTTAAAAGTGATCCTGTTTTTAAAGCCAGACACAACACCCCACCTTCATCCAAGGCCCTAAGCCGCAGACTTTCTAGACCCATCTTAAGCTTCAGCACCGCACGCACTTCGTGATAGAACGGTATTGTTCTCCTAGAATACACCCCTTTTCTCCTGAAACCGACGTTTTTACAAAAGCCTGCCAGCGCACGGCCTGCGGCGGCCGCGGGACCGCTTCGCCGGGATGTCCCGAGGGCTGGGGAAAGGAGGGCTTTCGCCGGCTGCGGTCCCCGGCCCCGGCCCCCGGCCCCGCCCGCGTCACCTGACCGGCCCGTGGCCCCCCGCCCCGCCGCCACCGACCTGATGACACTGATGTGGAACTGGTCCTCGCGGAGGCCCCGCCAGGCGCCGGGCAGGAACTCTTTGCACCACAGATAGGCCCTGCGCCGCGTCCGGGGCTCCGGCTGCTCGTCGGCCGGCGGCGGGGGCGGCGGGGGCAGCGGCAGCGGCGGCGGCGGCGGCGGGGGCAGCGCGAGCGGCGGCTGCCGGCCGCCCAGCTGCTTGGACTCGAGGTCGCCGGGGGCGTCGCGCTGCTGCCCCACGCCGGGCGCCGGGGCCGCGCTGCCGCTGCCGCAGCTCAGCAGCAGCCCGAGCGGTGAGGGCTCCGCCTCGCCCCCGGTGCAGAACTTGGTTTTCATGCCGGACAGGCGGCCGACGAGGCGCGGGCGGCCGCAGCGCGAGAGGACGAGGCTCAGGGTCCGGCCGAACGCCCGCTTCTGGGGGCCAGGCGGGAGGCCGCTCGCCGCTCTCTGACTGGCCGGCCGGCGGGGCGGGGGACGGCGGGCCGCGGCGGTTGGGCGCGCGGGGCGGCTGCGGCTGCGGCGGCTGTGGCGCGGGGATGTGCTGCTGTTCGCTGCGCTAGCTCTAATGCGGCCGCCGCACGAGGAGCGCCAGCCGCGTCACAGCCCGCCCTCGCGCTCGCCGCTCATTGGCCGCCGTCCGCCGGCCCGGCGCATCACAACCGCCGCCGCCCCCGCCACGCCGCCTCCCCATTGGCTGCGGCGCCGCCCCCTCCTGGAGCGCTGCGGCCTCAGGGAGCTGAGCCTGGGCGGAGGGGGCGGGGCGTGGAGGGGGCGCCCCCGGTCGCAGGGAAGGAGGAGAGGGGGAGCGAGGCGCGGGGGGCGCCGGCAGAGCAGCTCCGGGGTGGAACGGAGCCGGACTGGGCAGAGCAGGGGAGGCTCCAAAGCCTCGGAGGACCCCGGGGTTGGCTTTGGGAGCTGAAAGTTTCCCTGGATCCTTCGGAAGCCCCATGACATCAGAGGCCTGGCAGGGACAGGCAGGAAAGGTGTCTGGAGGCTACGGCCCTCTCCGCGTGACCTTGGGCGAGCCGCCGCCTCCTGGGGCTCAGTGGATGTCATTTTGTAACATTTCCCAGTGCTGTGCAAGGCGCGTTCTCGCCCGTCAAACGCTGAGCCCGAGGAATTACTAAGAAACCGAGGCCCGAAGGAGGGAAGAGGTGACGGGCTCCAGGCCACACGGTGGGCCAGGCTGGGCCGGACTGCGCGCCAGCTACCCAGACCCAGCCCTCTGCACGCCCCCTGCAGCCTCAGTTTCCCTGTCCGTGGTGCTGAGGATGCTCGGGCCTAGACGTTCAGGGCTGGAGGCCCAGGGACCGGCGAGGGAGGGGCATCATCCCCGCCACTGAGCTGCCGCTACTGCCCAGAGCACAGGCCAAAGGTGCGTGCCACGGGGCTGCTGGCGTTGTGGACGCTGTCACCTTCCTCCCCGTCCCCCTCAGGAAACAGCCTTGTGACCGTGACTAATACACCTTTGCCGGGGTAGGGGGGCAAGGCCCCCTGCTCCCATTTGCCACACACTGCCCCATGTTCCTCACTGCTCTTTGCCCTGCTGCTTTTGTCCTTCCTGGAAGTGAGGTACAGATAAATATGAAAATTACGGACCCCATTTTATGGGACATGAGCTGAAACGAGGTTCCTGGGCTGCCAGAGGCTTAGGAAATCCAGTGCCTGGCTCACAGGAAATGGCTTCCATGCAGGGAGTTCACAGTCTGCCAGAAGCAAAAATCTTTTAGAGTGTGTACTTGGCTGAACTTGCCCCAAGAAGAATGGTCTTATTGAACAAAGAATAAAAATGAAAGGGGACTAAATTTTACAAGGCTGCTGTGGCAATAGGCCTGGAAGTTGACCTGCAGGGAGCTAGGAGAGACCAAGTCCTCTGGGACAGAGGCCAGCCAAGGTGGGAATCTCACTGGATATTTGAAAGGCTGAGAAGCCAAGGGCTTCAGTCTGGGGAGGCCATTTGGATAAAGGAGCCAAAGACTTTCCTCTAAAAATACCAGCTCACAGGGAAGTGGAGCCATGCCACTGGCCTGCCCAGGTGGCATGCCCTTTGTCCCACTGCCCCCTGGCACCAGTCTGATAAGCTCAAAGGAATGCCAGAAATCTGGCCAGGAGGAGGGGACACTAAAGTAAGGAGTGGCTCTATAATTTGAAATAACTCTTTCTGGCATCTGCTTTGTTTTGTTATGAAAACCCTGAGATATTTTTATGGGATTACCATTCCCTGTGGGAGTAGGAGGTTGCCTCATGGCCAGGCATGGCAGCTCACGCCTGTAATCCCAGCACTTTGGGAGGCCAAGGCAGGAGGATCACTTGAGCCAGGAGTTTGAGACCAGCCTGGCCAACATAGCAAGACCCCATCTCAAAAAGTAAAAACGAAAAAAAATTAACAGGACATGGTGGCTCACACTAATCCAACTACTTGGGAGGCTGAGACAGGAGTATTGCTTGAGCCTGGGAGGTCAAGGCACCCACTGCACTCCAGCCTGTGCAACAGAGTGAGACCCTATTTGCTGAATGTATGAATCAGTGAGATCCTGGCTCAGCACTTATTAACTTATGACTTTGGGCTGAGCCTCAGTTTCCTCAACTATAAAATGGGGATTATGCCCAGAGCACCAGGCTATTGTAAGCATTGAATGAGAGAATGTATACAAAATGCAGAGGACAAAAGAAGCACCCATTTTGTTGCCTGCAGTGCACTGTATGGTGCTGCCTCTGCCGGTGGTTGGTTTTCAGAGATGAATAATGCAGACACTTGTAGCAATTCACAGCCTGGGAAGACAATGTCGTATAAGAAAAGAATTTGGGCTGGGTGCGGTGGCTTCTGCCTCTAATCCCAGCACTTTGGGAGTCTGTAGTCCTAGCTACTCAGGAGGCTGAGGCAAGAGAATCGCTGGAACCCAGGAGGCAGAGATTGAAAAGGGAGCTTCACCAGGGGTAAAACCATTCTCTAAAGCCAGTAGGACCTGGGACTCCACCCAGGACCCCATTAAGGGGAAACTTGTCCTTCTGGCCTTCTGCACCATAAGCACCTTTGGCCCGGGAAGCACTAGACATTTGGCACAGTGGGGGTTCCCTTGCAGGCTGGAGAAGCAGAGCCCTGGCAAGGCTGTGCTTGCACCCCCTCCCAGGTCACACCCAGGACCAAGCACCCCTACTGCAGTTCTTAAAATATTGATGAGAGCACAGAAGCCACCCAGCTGCAGTCCTCCACGCTGAAGATCGGGTTACAGTCCCAGCTAGCAGAGTGACGCGGAGCTCGGCCTTCCCTAAATGTTGAGTGTGGCCCCAGCCCAGGAAGCTCTGTCAGCAAAAGGCTGCGTAGGTTCAGCAGCTTTCTGGAGGTCTCTGAGCCCAAGTGTGGTCTGACTTGGACTGACCCTTCTACCATACATTTGGCCTAAGCATCCATAGCCAGAGCCCAGGGTCCAGAGGGCTCAGAGAAAGCCAGGTGACTAGAATACCCATGTGTCTGGTGGATGGGGCAGGCACTCCTCCCATCCTCATTTGTAGGATTTTGAGTGTAATATTATGGGTAAAAAAATCTAGTTGGGCATGGTGGCTTATGCCTGTAATCCCAGCACTTTGGGAGGCCGAGGCAGGCGGATCACGAGGTCAAGAGATCGAGACCATCCTGGCCAACACGGTGAAACCCTGTCTCTACTAAAAATACAAAAAAATTAACCAGGCATGGTGGCATCCGCCTGTGATCCCAGCTACTCCGGAGGCTGAGGCGGAAGAATCGCTTGAACCCAGGAGGAGGAGGCTGCAGTGAGCCGAGATTGCGCCGCTGCACTCCAGCCTGGTGACAGAGCAAGACTCCTTCTCAA